ATAGATTATAAACTTAAACACCTTAAAATGTGATTTAAAGGATATATTTCAGGCCTTTTAAATTATAATCGCTAGGGGTTTAACGATATCAGTGTCTCACGATACGATATCGTCACGGAATGAACCTCACAGTACGATATTTATTGCGATATTGTGGGAAAACTCAAGATATAGTGGGGAGGCTCACAATTAGGAATGTAACAATATCCAAATCTCTCAGTACAATATTTTCACGATATACATCTCAATGTACGATATTTATTGCGATATTTTGTGGAGGCTAACAAAACTTAACTGTTTTTCCTTTTAAAATGCCTTGACAAGACTTAATCCCAAGAACTAAGACTTTAAAAGTGCTTAGAACTGTTATTTCTTCTTGTAGTCTGCACTGAAATGGAGCAAAGGATCCTGGTCTATGTAGTTCACTTTGTCTTTTTTTTTTAGCTATTGCTGCACCATAACTCTTAATTTAAGCAAAGAGACTTGTAATTTGATATATTGTGATGGTCCATGATATCATTGTGAGAATTTTGATGATATTACAATATTTCGGTTATTGTTACATCTCTAATAATTGCTAAACGCATCCAGTTATACGCACTCAAATCTCTGCAAAAAATAAACAGTCTTGAGAGAAAATTGTGGGAAAATGTAAGATTTTGTTATTACAGTGCATTCTTAGTCATCATTACATTTCTTGTAACGATGTACTAATTTAAATTGTTCAAAATCATAACATTTCTGTCCATTTCCTCCTTGTTAGTTAGAACTGTAAAAGAGGCTCCATCCATCAACATCAGGAGCTGTTGAAGCCATCTGCTGTGGCCCGTGCTGGGAGATAGATCACCGGGTTTGAAATGCTAATCACTGTGGAAGAAGAATTGTCTGAAATGGACTCATTTTAGTTCGGCGTGTGCTCTCCCCATTGTGCGCACACGTTACAATCATAATGTGTTTAATCATGGTGCGAGGACCTCAAGAGGAACAGTGTGTCAGAGCGGTGAAGGGGACTCAACTCCAGCTATTTATATAACACCAGAGATGGATAAGATTTAGCTCTACAAAAGTATATCTTGTTATTTTAAAAAGGTAATAAAACAGAAAACACGCACCGGTAATGGTCTTATATCATGTCATGTTGTGATTTTTGAGCTTAATTTCTATGTTTCTAATTTTGTCTAACCAAGGAGAGAAACATGAGCAAAGACAGGTACTAATAATGTTTTGAAACTAGTAGGGATGTAACAATAACCGAAATATTGTGATATTGTATAGTCAGAAATCTCACAATAATATCGTGGACCATCACAATATATCGAATTACAAGACGCTTTGTGTAAATTAAGAGATATGGTGTAAAAAAAGATCCTTTGCTCCATTTCAGTGTAGAACACACAAGAAATAACAGTTCTAAGCACTTTTAAGTCTTAGTTCTTTGGATTAAGTCTTGTCAAGGTATTTTAAGAGGTAAAACAGTTAACAGTTTTGTTTGGCCTCCACAAAATATCGCATTAAATGTCGTACCGTGAGAAGTATATCGTGAAAACATCACACAGAGAGATTTGGATATTATTACATCCATAATCGTGAGCCTCCCCATCATATCGTGAGCTTTCCCACGATATCGCAATAAATATCGCACCGTGAGGTTCATGAGGGATGTAACAATATCCAAATTTCTCGATACAGTATTTTCACGATATGCATCTCGCGGTACGATATTTATTGCGATATCGTAAGCTAAAAAAATTGGCTAATATATTACTTTTCTCTCGTCATAATCCAAATAATTAAGATTTAAAAGTGCTTAATAACAATTGTTTCAACATGTAGACTGGACTGAAATGGAGCAAAGGATCATGGTCTATGTAGTCCCTTCTGTTTTTTTAGCTATTGCTGCACCATAACAATGAATTTAAGGAAATAAACTTGTGATTAAATATATTGTGATGGCCCACAATATTATTGTGAGACTTTTGACGATACAATATCATGATATTTCAGTTATTGTTACATCCCTATTTGAAACCATTTTGTGCGTGCGCATGTAATACAACGTGACTTAAGCTATATTCATTATATATATTTATTTTGGATTACCCCTTGAGATACATCACCTGTTTCAAAGGGGTCCTCTTAAAACAAAAATGACAATTAGTAGTTTTTGACTTCTTTATGTTTATTATTTTAAAAAATGTAAGTATGTGTGGCAAAAGATTTCTATTACATTTCAAATTGGCTCATCTCAATTTTCTAGGGCTGTAGTTGACCAAAGAAATTTAATCGATTAAAAGGGGCATGGTCGGGCGCTGAAGAAAGCTCTCAAGATGATCAGAATCTTACACCAAAACGATATGAACAGAAAAGTACTAGTAAACAACATCTTCAAGAGTAAAACGGCAGATGTGTCACTGTCAACACTCCTTCTACTTTCTACAGCTTTTACTTTCTGTTGTTGTACATATACAGTTTTATAATCCTAATACAATAATCTGAATAACAATTTTGAATTTAGGTTACAATTTAGGGGTTCGTTTGGCGCCACTGCCTCACCCATAAATAAGCGTGTTAACTTTGAAACCCTCTGACCCCCTTCGCTCTCTTGTGTTGGTGTCGAAATAAAAGATCGACAACACGTGGCCTCACTCCATTCTATTCTAATGCATAAAGCTTTATATGAGTGGACACATGTTCTCTCCAGCCCCCTCCCATTACGCTGTAGCGGAGGTGGTCCCTGGTTAAACCCCACATGATAAATGACATTACCCCCGCGTGCCCCTGCTCAAGCTTATATACTGTACCTCTCCGCACCATCAGTCACAGTCCCAGCAGGAGGGGGCCAGGCGTCACCAGCGCAGCCCCGCCCACAGCCGTCCCCGTGGGCAACTGGAGCACCCAAACCCCCTCTGCTTACCTACACGGGCTGACAAAGGGCTTTCTTTATGAGCCCAATGAGCACATCAATTATACAAGATTATCAATTTTAAGAATTACCACGTCGAAGATTAGCAGCCTATCAAATCCAACTTCATGACTTGTAAACGTGCGTCTTGAAAATTTGCTTGATTTGTAAAAAAACATGTGAATAAAGTACAATGAATTTATGTTAATTTCATCTGATTATTTTAAATTAGGAAATGCAGGTAAAATATGTTGTACTGATAATGTCATGAAAATTGTAGTTTTGAGAACAAATTCTGTAATTGTAGGCCGATTTTATTCTAGTATTTCATTTGTGACTCATCTACCCCATCTACCTCATCTGTACCCCAAGGCCAAAAGCCAAACTAATATTTCAACCCAAAACTGGTCCCTCTAGATTTTCTCCAAATGAGTTAAATTGTATCAAAACATCCACCCACAGGGACGCTCCAGGAAAAAGGGGCATGGCCGAATTCCTGGTCAATTCTCAAATCAATGAAAATTGAGTTTGTTTTTAAATGTGGTTATGTGAAAACACTAGCAACTGCAAACTGCCTTTGTCTGGAGCGAGCCATTTAAACTGTTAAACTGTGTAACTATTAGACTAAGACAATTTAACACACGGTAAAGGTGAAGCAAAGAGATCACTGCCCACACCAGAATATACCTACTCATTTTTTTTGTCATGTTCTATTATAAAGCACATTTAGCAATTAAAATTTCAGTTATTTGTAGACTCAAAGCAAAAATGTGTTTTGAAATGTTCAGTGTAAATTAAAAAGTTGCATCTTCTCTAATTTTTAATGTAATCTAAATGTATAAATGTGTGTTAAACTATATATTATTTCATAGGCTAGAAGAATGTAACAATAGAGCAATGTGATTAAAAAAAAGTACGCATAACTGGTCGGTAAATTACAAGTTATCAGCACTGTCGGACTCATCAAAGTGATGTGATACAATTTTCTCATCTTCTTTGAAATAACGTGGCAAACCCAAGTATCCGCAAGTTGTGATCTAAAAGAGTCAATAAATCTGCTGTCACCGCGCACAGACCTGGGAGTGGCGCCTCTGAGCTCTCTGATGACAATGTAAAAGTAGAATCTGTATGAACGATGTGCAAATTGAGCCGTGAGATTACGTATCAGGAGCGCACCAGGTGAAGGTCGCACCTGGATAAAAGGGCAATTAGAGGCATTGTGGCGCTGCTTTTCCTTCATCTGCATCTTTTATATTCACACAAGCGCCAGCAACACCGGATTTCAGGGGCTTTAAAGCTCCTGATGGCCCCGGGGCGGTCTCCAAGTTCAAAAGTTCACCTTTTACGACCTCCTCGAGCCTGACTGACCACCACCAAATAAAAACATTCCGACCCGAGCTCCCAACAGCTCAATATCACACGCGAAACAAACAGCAATGCATCAGTGAGAAGAACAACAAAGCCCACTGCAATGACTGACAACATTTGGATCACTGAATTATAATCCATAGACACTTTATATATAGAAATGGAATGGGATTTGACCTGCAAATATTCTGGTTATTTTACGCACACCATTTTGCTTGATTTAGTCAATTCTTGAGGAAAGTTTGGAATGTACAATGTAAATTACACAATACATATTAGAGAGCCACTATAACAAGCTGGAAAAAGTAATAGAAGATCGGCGCGCTCCAGTGCACCGCGGGTAGCAGCTCACACAGGAGGGTCATGTGTGAACATGTAGTGGGCCTACTACTTCCAGGTGTCAGGACTTGACAGTGAAACCGCGCGCTGCGTGTCTTTCTGCAAAGCAGAGTTCAGATCGTGTTCACTTTGCACTGTAGATCCGTAGGCTTCCGTAGTGAAGTGCCATGAATTACTTTGGCGGTTAAATTACGCAAAAGCGCCATGCGCAAAGCATCCAGCTCAGCTTTAGCTAATTTGTTCCGATGTTTGCTACACTACTGTAAGTGCCCAGTGAACAGCCTAGTTCCACAACAGGTGTTGTCAAGGTTAAAATATGACATTAAACCCAACCAAAAAGCAAAAAATACAAGATAAAGGAATGAAAGTAGTGGATAAATGTGGTGCTCACCGTTGACGGACTTGGCGTTGCTCCTGTCCGTGTAGTCGAAGCTGTTGGTCCGCTTTTCCACCTCCATCCTCCCGAACATGCCGAGCCCCGTGTGGGTCAGCAGCTGAAAGTCGCCTTTCGCCGCCAAAAGCCCAAACTTGACCCTGAACAAGAGGACCGGACCGGTGCTGATGCTGTTGACGGTGCTGAGTGTCGCGGGACGGGGGTAAAGTTGAATGTAGCCGCTCGTAGCACTCCTCGTCCTGGATGGCTCACTGCTCCGTGCGTCCCATGCTGTAGCTCTGAACGCCACAGACAGGATCCACACCCCCAGCGCGGTGCGTTCAGGGCCCCAGGGAGGGAGGGACACGGAGCTTTCACACACAATGGCTGAAGTCTTTTAATGGGGAAATCTCCAGAAAACGTTGTACCTTATATTCTGAAGTAGGGTCCAATAAAAAACTGACGTTTATTTCACTTTTGGATCAGCATTATAAGACGTAGTATTAAAGAGGTTGAAAGTTTGACCATTCTCCTCTCACAATTCCAGAAAAAAAAAAAAACACGACACACCTCGTAGGACGTGAAGGCACCACTGCAGGAAGTTTCTTCGGAGGCACTATGGTAAATGTAGTTCTGCGATAAACTCTCCTATTGAACTCCAAAATATCACTTTTTTATTGCATATCTCAAATACCACATGCAGTTTTGCCTTTTGCTATTTGAAGCGCAGTGTCAGACTTTATCAATCGATAATTTTACTTCATATCATGAAATGACATTAAAAAAAATTGTTGTGCAACCCATGTGATTCACATGCGTAAAAGAGTACCGACTGATTTAGAAGTTTTCACAATGAGTGAAACCTGAAAGAAAAGAATTGACTGTAATTAGTTTCAGTACTTTCATAACATCCTCAAGTGGGCATGCTACACTGTGTTCTATAGCTCCATCTTGTGGTAAATGAAAGACAAGGTGAGAACAAAGGTGTGACATGATACTGGTATATTATATATTAGCCAATATAGACAAGTCAATATTTAACTAACAACACTATCTGTCATTCGTTTTGCTGTAGACAGAATGTTGGTAGCGCATGCGTTAAAACAGTAATGCACAATAATGTAATGTCAGTATTTCGTGTTTAATGTTAACCAAAAACTTACAGTATGTCGTTCACGATTTTCAAGGTTTTTGTTATAATTTTTAAAATTACCGACCTGGTTCTAAACCATCACGTAAGAGTTGTAAAGCACAATTTATCCATTAGATGGCGCTTATCGACCTGCTAATCTTCCCCCTGCCTCACTAGTTGAGTCGTGAAATCAAAGTCTCGTTGAGTCCCTTATGGGCTCAAAACTATTAAAAAGACTTAACATAAAAAATAATAACAACCCAAAGAGAGTCTTAGAGTTTAGTCCGACGGTAAAGATAAATGTATTTAACCTCTGATGAAGTTTTACGTAGGCTACATCATATCAGTAGATTTTTATTTATCCTGCCCTTCTGGTCAGTAAATTATGAATTATTCTTGGTAACCTATGCACCAGACTGTCACGTGCTGCCCTATTACAATACGTATTTTACTGACGTGGGTTAAAATGACCATTCTGATGTAAGCATGTATTTATCTGGAGTGGGGATAAGGACTACATGCTGTTCAGCTTGTGTACAATAAGTGACTAAAATACTCTAAAAATCCTTGAGCCGTGCATCAGTCATTAGCAGCATAGTTCAGTTCAGCTGCTGATTTTATATGTGCCACATATAGCAGCAGCAGGTAGGACGGTATAATCTCTGCCCGTGGCCTCTCCATTGTCACAGCCCCCGGTTCAGCTCGGCCTCTGACAAAGTGCGTGTTTGTGGAGTAAACCCCTCCCTTGACGCATGGCGGATGAGAGAGCGCGCGTGGGGCAGCAATAGCAGACAGCTCCCATCCCAACACTCCATCTCCTCTGCACACGGGCCAAACATGGAGCTAAAGTAAACTTGCACGGGGCCACTATAACACGTTCGTTTCTGGCGTTTTATCGGATTGTTTGAACTTTTACGCACGCAACAAGATCGACAACATGTGGAGATACACCAACTTGATCGCCTGTCTTCTGGTTTTGTGTAAGGATGCAAGTGCGCAGAGCAAGGTAAGACCATTTCAACTCATCAATACGTACATTGGACCAAAACACGTAGATAAAAACACGTTTGATTTTAAAATTATTCCAGCGTTGCCATTTAATTAGTCATGTTGCGTGTCCGGATATTGTAGTGCCACTGAACTATAACATCCCGTGACACGAGCGCTTATCCAAAGATCCCACACCTTACACTTACTGTCTCAAGTGCGCAGATGTCCCTTGCTATGTGTCATATTTTATACTTAACATTAATCCCTCCAGTGCGCTCTTTTGTATATTTGACGCAGGTTAACAATAGACTCAGCGGATTTGTTAATGATAGGTGTGTAGTAGCGGGACTGGGTCACACGCACAGTTTGGATTTGCGCGGAGCCCGGTGGGGTTACTGTAATATGGAGCTGTCTCATGTTTGGACAGCTGTTGGGCTTCGGTTACCTCTCACTCTCCCCTCTGACTCACTGCAACAAACCAGCCACACAAACAGAACAAACATCATCACAACTGCACCATCCCAATAAATGTCCGCGCACTGATGTGGTACAGTCAACAGCTGCATTTAAAGAGATGGTTGTGGACAAAATGTGAAAACTTGAAAGTGCCTGAGGAAATGTACTCTTTTATTTTAAACATTCTGATGGTTTGGTCTTGATATTGATCTTATTTTGGGGTGAAATCCAGCTCAAAGTTAAGGGCATATGATCTATGATGCTCTACAGTCCAATTTTATCATCTATTATTGTCAAAATTTGTTGTTAAAGGTGCACTATGTAACTTTTCTGGTGGAGTTTAGCTACCTGTACATCTCCATGGAAATGTTATTGCTTTGTCTGTAATGTCCACTTACTCATCTTACGGAGACAAACAGGTGACAAGTCAGATCTTTGGAAAAGCAACCCCGCTCACAGTCAGTGTTGGGGAGTAACAGATTACATATACTGGAGTTACGTAATCAGAGTACAAATTATGAGTAATTGTATTCAGTTACAGTTACTGTTTCCATGAGTGGTAATTGGATTACTTCGTTGAAATAAATTGATTTCAGGGAGGTATTTTCCTGTTTTCACATTTTGGGCTAAACCAGGACTAAAACCAGGACTAAACCACAACTAAACCAGGTCTAAACCAGGTCTGAACCAAGTCTAAAAGCAGGACTAAACCAGGACTAAACCAGGTCTAAACCAAGTCTAAAAGTAGGACTAAACCAGGTCTAAAAGCAGGTCTAAAGCAGGTCTAAACCAGGACTAAACAGGACTGAACCAGGTCTAAACCAGGACTAGACCAGGTCTAAACCAGGACTAGACCAGGTCTAAACCACAACTAAACCAGGTCTAAACCAGGACACGTAACAGTAGGGTGAACATAATTTCAAGCAGCAGTGATCTCATATAAAAAAATTTCTCTATCAATAATATTTTTAATATGATTAAGTAAAGACTGGGCTTTTTCTTTTCTTTTATCAGATAAAACAAAACCTCTTATGTTCAGATCCTCGTCTTTGCTTCTCTACAGTAAACAAATGTCTGTTCATGGAGACTTGGGCTCAACAGCCAATTTGAAGAGAACAAACAAGAATTTTCAGGATGTGGTTGCTACTTTCATGTCGTTTTAAAAAGCATGACAGTATGAAGTAATCCAAAGTATTCAGATTACGTTACTCACTTTAAGTAATTTAATGGATTACGTTACAAACTACATTGTGGGAGATGTAATCTGTAATCTGTAAGGGAATACATTTTAAAAGTAACCTTCCCAACACTGCTCACGGTGAAAAAAAAAAATACACTGGGCCATTCCAGGCTAATCAGTAACATCTCAGTCACTTGAAAAGTTACAGAGTGTACCTTCAACCTTAGAGCTGGTTTACTCTTTTGTTCATTTGGTCTCCTTTAAGGGCATACTTGGCATTTCCTCACTGATAGTATTCCTGTGGACCCCGTAGTAAATGTCCAGTGCATTTGGAAAACAGTCGGTCACACACTGCTGCAGATGAAATGGAGCAGAAAAGTGGCAGACGTGCTTTCAATTGCATCAAAGGAAAAGTCCACAAACTAAAGTCCTCGTGCCTTATTGTAGCTTTAAGTAGCATTAAAAGTCCCTGTAGTTAAATGTACAAAATGGAATGCACATTAAGTGTAAGTCCAGTGCTTGATAACGAGGTCAGGAGATGTAGCATATAATTCATTCGTGTAGGACCAAAAGCTTTTCCCTTATTTGGAGGAGGAACATGAAAAGTAGAAGATCCCTGCTATGAGTGTCACTGCAGTACATCAGATGCTTTTTGTTTACATCACAAGATCATTCTAACAAAATACAGGCATCTTCACAAGTTATGATTACTGGGCTTTGTCGTGTGTCATTATGTTTGCTCTCCAAACACCAGCATGTTAAGTATATGTTTTAATGTATAGAGCTGTGTACTTAATCAGGGGCGTGTCCAGCTTTTTGAAGGCCCTATGTGCAATGCTATAGGGGGCCCTTGTTTTTCAAACTACTAGTGTAAATCAAAAGTGCCATGGATGGTTAATTAAATTCCCTGTCACATTTATTAACTATATGAAGTTTTTAGGGGTTTTGTGCCAAAACTGAACTCTATTTCATATAATTAAGACAAGAATACCAAAGATCTCTGCCAAGACGCTGATTTGATTCTGCAGTGGTACAAATACAGTGCCCAGACCTAGACTCAAGCTCCCATATTAAGAGGCAAATGCTCTCTCAATATACTTTTAATAATGAGACAAGAGGTCTTCAACAGGCGGTCTTCATTTTTGAAGGATTGGGTTCTGGCGGTATGCTCCTTCATCATCATTCCCTCGTCTCTCGCTCCCTGTCAAACTGCAAACACATCAGCCTGGATTTTATCGTTCCTTCTTGGCTACATGTGAACAGTTACAGCTTTACTTTTACGCACAGCGGAACTTAAGCTCCGCACCTACTACCGCGCATCGGGAAAGGGTGACGCAACTTCATTCTCCGGCCCGCATCAACCAGGCTCTGCACTCCGCAGCCAGCCTCCTCTCTACCCGCGGAGCTACTGGGAGAGGAGTGGGAGCGACCAAGAGAGGAGTAGGAGTGAACAGGAGAAGAAGGAGGGAGTTGTGTCTTTCCTGTCGCTCCTTATATCAGAATGACCAGAAAAGTTCGGTGTCCCATATCAAACCCTTGTCCGTGTGCACTGTGGCTCACCTCTTGATTAATCAGCTCATTAAAATAAGTCACACTTTGAGCCCATTTTCCGTGATGGAAATGGATAAGCCTGGATTTCAGGATAAGCTTGGACTTGTTAAGCAACTTCAATGGAATACCCCCCTAGTATTGAAAACAATACAATAATAAAGTAGCTGTTTATACACGACAGTTGGCCCAATTTAATATAAAACACACTTGTATGCCATATATATAGTAGAGGGTCCTGGTTCCCTGCTCCAGCTTGCATCATCAGTTTGGGTGTCCCTGGCCTGAAAAACATTGAAGACCCCTGGTTTATACTGTAAGGACAAAGTGACTGTACTTGTTTTTTTTGCTTTATGTAGTTGAGCAAAATTTTTTTGTCCCAGTACAAATATTATGTGAAAACAGCTCTTACAGTCAAAATTAGACCTCTGCATGCTGCTAATTATAAAGTGCTTTGTCGTCTGAGAACCAGGAAGTGCAATGTTAGCATGCTAGTTGCAATTAGGTCTACCGCAACTGCAAAACGTTTCTCTGGTTTTGTGAAGTTGTCGAATATGCTTATGCTTATAAACTCATCACCTTGAATAATTAGGATGTTTTGGAAAATGAGGAATAACAATGGACCACTGCAAACTGTTCACAGTTAACTGTTTTTTTTAGTTTTGTTTTGTTTTTTAAGCTCATTTGGATCCATATCATAATTTCTCATCTTTTTGGATAATGACTCAACGTTATAATAAATAATTTACATTACCTTAACATCATCCTGACTGCTCGCACGGGGGGCCTTGCCAACCCCACCTCCTGCTTCACTGGGGACACTTCACTGGCATTAATGAGGCACGGAGGGGGCACTGAGAGCACCCCGGGGTGGCGTGGGAATGGGCGCATGCACCTGCCCCATGTTTTGGATGTAAACACCATGAACAATTGGCACAGGGTCACGCCAGGGCTACCGAGCAAAAGATAACAAACGATGCGATGCCTGGTGTACGCCTCATTCCTGGGCAAGAACAGACCTCGGAGAGATATTTCATCAAGCTCTGTTATGCCAACACCCTGTGAGTTAATTGCCGATGATATGATTTGATGAAGTGTTAATGTTATCTGTCAGTGTAAAGTATGGAAGTCTGTAGTGAAACGGAATTGATAAGAAAAACATGCAGCCCAGTGACAGCTTACTGAATCATCATCCGACTATTTTCATGTATTTTACTTTTTCTGTGGTTTTGTCTGTGGATATTTGAAGTTCAATCTATTTAAACGCTTCATATTACACTGTTTTCTGATTTACGTTATAATGTTGTTTCCTCATCCAAAAGGTACTGTACCTGGAGTTGTGTTTTGTTTCCTTCATGCATGTTAAACACACAAAAATATGACAGAAATTTGTTAAAACCTACCAGCAGATGTCTTGGTTGGGGTTCAAGTATTGCATAAAAAGGCATTACACTGTTAAAATAAACAAAAATGCAACATCGTGCATTGCAACTTTCGGTTCTTCCACTCAAATAATCACCACTTTCTCTTTCTCTGGCCCAAAACAGCAGTCGTACAGTAGAGATCACATGTTTGACAAGTACAAGATAGATTGCTGACTTAAAAATGAGATGTCCTGCTATGCACAACAAGTTTCAGTAACATGAAACCAGATAAACCCAGAATTAGGTCATGACCTTCCAGTCTCTACAGGAAGACTAAGTATGTGTTTAGCTATACTCATAGCTCTGTGATACATGGTGAATGTCAGAGCTATCAGATCGAGGCCAACAGAAACATGCTTATCTCGAAATTCTCAGGTCATAACAATGATAAATTACTCCAGTTGGATG